CACAAACATTGTTAGGTATGCAATAACTAAAAAATGCTATTACTCTCGTACTCTCTACTAACGTTTTCTTTTTCCTTGGTTTAACTTTGGCCAGCAACGTTCTTAGCCTGTATCGTCTGTTTCATTGCTCCCAGTCCCCCAATTTGCATCTGCGAGCCAGTCTGAAGGTATCCATGTTCACCACCAAAGCCTAGCAGACAGCAAGTTTTGTTGCCTTTATTCGGAACCGGTAATTATGTCGACCTCCAGTCAACGCTCTAAATTTTTTTTTTATCTGTTAGTTTTTTAGCACTTATTACAAAAAAGATAGTAATTTTTTGCGGAAAAGCACCGTTTTCCCAGAAAAGCGGATAGCGGAAAAAAACACTTTTTTTGCCCAAAATCCGTGCTGTGGGTACTCAAATTGTCAGTATTTCACGATGAATTCAACGGTATATTTCTCATTCTGATCCGAGAATTAATAACTGAAAAAGCCCGCAAAATGTTAGGTTAGGTTTGGTTAGGTTAGTTTAATTTAGGTAAAGTTACGTTTTAGTTAACCTAAAAACAACCTAAACTAGCCTAATCACAAAATGTTAGGTTAGGTAATGTTGGGTTAGGTTAGTTTAGTTAAGTTTAATTTAGATTAAATAATTAAGTTTAATGTTAATTAAAAACCTAGCCCAACGTGGGTTAGGTAAAGTCAGGTTTGGTTAGGTTAGGTAAGTATAGTTTAGTTTAGGTTAATAACCTAAGAAAAACACCCACAACAGCAACCTGTATTGACAACATCATAACTAATAATTATTTAACTTTTGATGAAAGTATGTGTAAAACAGTAGATTTTTGAATTTCTGATCATTTAGGTCAAATAATTTGCCACAAGGCTGAGATTGTAAATAGTAATGTAAAAAAGTATTCCTCAAAACGTATAATAAGTCAAGAAAATATCAGATCCCTATACAACTGCTTATCAGCTGAGAATTGGAATAATTGTATGTCACAGCTTAGATGTAATGAGAGTTTTAATTTTTTTTTCAATACTGTATATAACTCCTTTGTAAATAATTGTCCTATCACCACAAAAGTTGTTAATAAAGGGAAAAGTGCTTGGGTAACAAGGGGAATTAAAGTGTCGAGTAGGAGGAAATGGGAACTGTATAAAATCTCTAGATATAATTCGAATCCTGCTTTTATGGAGTACTTTAAGAATTATAAACGGGTGTTTAGAAAAGTAGTTTCTGCAGCAAAAAAGTTGTATAATGTTAATTTGATAAAAGAAAGTGACAATGTAACTAGAACAACTTGGAATATTGTTAAAAGAGAGTAAGGGCAATGTGTAGAAGATCAGTCGTGTCCAGAGATTAGAATTAATGGAGAGGTGGTAGTAAAACCAATATCAGTAGCTAACAGTATGAACAATTTTTTTACAAGCGTAGCAAAAGATTTTCATTCTCATGTTTCTGTTGCAGAATCTGTTAAGAGCGCAAAAAAGGCATCTTTAAAAGTTCCTAATTCTTTCAAGTTTCAACCGGTATCAGAATCTTTTGTCTTTTCATGTATAAAAAAACTCAAAAACAAAACATCCACAGGATGGGACGAAATTCCAGCACATCTTATAAAATCTTTAGCTCCTTGCATCTTAAAACCTTTAACTCATTGTATCAATATATCACTGTTAACAGGCTCTTTTCCAGACAAATTAAAATATGCACAAATCAAACCAGTATTTAAAAAAGGTGACTCCCATGAAATATCTAACTATCGACCAATCGCTCTTTTGCCAGTCATCTCAAAGTTGTTTGAAGAGGCTGCTCTATCACAGCTAGTTCCATTCCTTGAAACAAACGAATTACTCAACAAAGATCAGTTTGGTTTTAGACAAAATAGGAGTACCTCAGATGCAGTAGTTGAGCTTATTTCTGATACTGTGGAGGCCCTGGATAGATCCCAGAGGGCAATTGGTGTTTTCTGTGATCTTTCCAAGGCCTTCGACTGTGTGAGGCATGACATTCTTCTGGAAAAACTTAAACTATATGGAATTGTTGGTTCTTCCTTGGCCTGGTTCAAATGCTATCTTCAGGGACGTTATCAACGAGTTGTCATCAAAGATAAATCTAACATTAAAAATTTCTCAAACTGGTGTCCGGTTCTTCATGGCGTTCCTCAAGGGTCTAAAGTTGGACCTCTTCTTTTTATTCTCTACATAAATGATCTAGCTGCTACATTGGATTCTGTAATATATCTTAAGAATATTAATATCCGTTGTAACTATGATTTCCTTGTACATCACGCCACTGTGAATCGTATGATTTTCAATAAATCTCATTGGCTACAAACATCACCTGATCCCCTCTCCACCTACATCACACCACCGTCCATGTACGTCCGTCCCTACAACAGACAGTCTACCTCCAAAACTCAAACCTTAACCACCCGTCTGTAGCTGTGTGTTAAACATGTAAAACTATCGTATTTATTTTATCAGTCCACTTCCTAAGTCCAATTCAACCCACGAACACAACAAATGGCGACGAGGTCGGTCAAATTTACATACCGCGCAATGCAACTGTTCGATTGTGCCGCGTAGGGTAAATTTCGAACGCGTTTGTGAATGTCGAACGACGTAGTGGACTTAGACTTACTACCGTTGTTTGAAGATAGTAGTGAAGTGTCGGGTTACTCCAGCATGGCCGGGATAATTGGCAGCATCGGCGAGTACGACCAGAACTCCGAAACGTGGTCTTCATACATAGAAAGATTCGAACTGTTCGTCGAATGTAACAATATTAAGGAGGAGAAGAAGGTTAGCACTTTATTGACTGTTGCTGGTGTTAAAACGTATAGTTTACTACGGGATCTGTGCACGCCCGACGTACCATCGAAGAAGAGTTTTAAGGAAATAGTGACCATCATTAAGGATCATCTCTACCCGAAACCATCGTTCATCGCCGAGAGATACAAGTTCAGCAAAAGAATTCAACATGAGGGAGAATCAGCTGCGGAATACATCGTGCAGTTAAGGAAGATGTCTACACATTGCGATTTCGGCGCATCTTTAAATGACTACCTGAGGGATCGTCTAGTCTCCGGAATCAGGAACGAATCGACCAAACAAAAATTGTTAGCAGAAACCAGCCTAACTTTGGACCAAGCCGTCAAAATCATCACGTCTGCAGAAGCCGCTGAGAAAAATGCCGCAGCCTTGTCGATCAACGGAAGCCGCAACGTCGAGCGACTACAAAAGATGACGTCACACCATCGCAGAGTACCAGGCGGAAGCAGCGCACCATCAAGTGTCACCGTCACCGCACCTTCAGGTCACCACAATCACCCCAAAAGCAGCTCTTCGCACGACAACAAAGTGCAGTGTTCGTGTTGTGGAAGTTCATTTCATTTACGTAATCAGTGTCGATTGTTAGGTGTAACGTGTAACGCGTGTGGAAAGAAGAATCACATTGCTAAGGTTTGCCGATCTAAGAGTAAGTCACAAAAACAACATTCTCATCATTTTAGTAATAGAAATAACAGTAGGCATAATTATGTAGAAGCAGTAACGAGTGCAAGCGATGATAACCCTAAAGCTGAAAGCTATGAGGAAGATATTCCAAATTTATTCAAAATGAATGAAAGTAAAGTAGAAAATGCTAAAGTAAGCCCTATTAAATTAGAATTAACAGTTCAGGGAAAACCAATTCATTTTGAAGTTGACACAGGCGCAAGCGTAAGTGTATGTAGTGAAAACTTTTACAATGAAAATCTTAACTATTGTAAATTGTTATCCACTGACTTATCTCTGAGTTCGTACACAAATGAACCAATCGTTCCGTTAGGGAAAATTGAAGTAGATGTACAGTATCAAGGAGTAAACAAATGTCTAGAATTGTATGTAATTAAGAAGGGAGCTCATCCTCTGATAGGACGAAATTGGCTTCAGAGCCTTGGTGTGGAAATATCTTTCAAAGATAAAATTTTTGGCATTGAAAATAACGCTAGTATCGATCAAACTGTACATAGTAAACATTGCACTGAACTAACCAAAGAATTGTTTAAAGAATTTCCCGAGGTTTTCACTGATAAATTAGGTCAATACAAAGGTGAACCAGTTCAATTAAAATTGAAAGCTAACGCCACACCTCGGTACTTTAAGCCACGGTCTATACCTTTTTCACTTAAAGCTAAAGTAGAAAAAGAGCTTGAGAAGTTAACAGAAGAAGGTGTACTTCTCCCAGTCAAAAGTTCTGATTGGGGCACTCCCATAGTTCCAGTTCTTAAACCAGACGGTGGAATCCGTATTTGCGGAGATTTTAAGGTTACATTAAACCCAAGTCTAGAGGTAGAAAAGTACCCAATCCCTAGAATAGATGATTTGTTTACTAGTTTACAGAAAGGTGAAAAATTTAGTAAGATAGATCTGTGCCAAGCATATATGCAACTTGAATTAGATGAAGAGTCTAAAAAACTATGTACCATAAGTACGCATAAAGGGTTGTTTAGTTATCAAAGAATGCCGTTCGGAATCTCATCCGCAACCAGCATATTTCAGTACAGAATTGAACAATGCTTACAAGATTTACCTAATGTAGTTTGCTTTCTAGATGACATTTTGATTACAGATGTAAATGATGAATTACATTATCAAAAGCTTAGGGAAGTTTGCAGACGTCTTAAAGAAAATGGTCTTACCGTTAAGAAGAGTAAATGTACATTTTTTGCACCTAAAGTAGAGTATTTAGGTTTCTGTATTGACAAACAAGGTCTACACACTTCCGAATCTAAGGTAGAAGCTATAAAAAACGCTCCAGTTCCTAAAACAGTGACAGAAGTCAAAGCTTTGGTAGGTCTAATTAACTACTATTCGAAGTTCATTCCTAATTGTTCCACTATATTAAGTCCTATGTACAACCTGCTCAAAAAGGACACACCCTTCAATTTTGATAAGAATTGTATTGCAGCTTTTGACAAAGTAAAAGAGCTACTCTCTAATGCCCCTATTTTGGCTCACTATGACACCAATTTACCTTTAAAATTAGCCGTAGACGCTAGCTCAGTAGGCCTAGGCGCCGTGTTAAGTATTGTCTCACCAGATGGCGTAGAGAAACCGATAGCGTATCAGTCACGCACACTCTCAACAGCTGAGCGAAACTATTCACAAATAGAAAAAGAGGCTCTTGCTATTGTTTTTGCAGTCAAAAAATTCAATCAATATTTGTATGGGAGAAAGTTTGTTTTGTACACTGATCACAAACCACTTCTAAGTATTTTTGGCTCAAAAAAGGGATTACCTATTTTTGCTGCTGGTCGCATGCAAAGATATGCTTTGTTCTTGTCCGGTTACGAATTTGACATTCAATATGTAAAATCGGATCAAAACAACGCAGATATGTTATCTAGATTGCCGTTGAGTGTTAATCACAACAATGCTACTGATGAGTTTGCGTGGCAAGGTACTTATTTACATTGTTTACAGGAGAGTTCATTACCTTTGACATTTGAACATGTAAAGTCAGAAACACAGAAAGACCCAGTTTTAAGTAAAATTTATGGTTATATTGTAAACGGATGGCCTAATGTCATTCCAGAGGGAAACGAAGAACTTGCTCCGTATTTCCAAAGACAGAACGAACTGACAGTTGAATTTGGGATTATTTTGTGGGGCTATAAAGTAGTCGTACCAGTAACTTTAAGGGACTATGTACTTAAAGAGCTTCATTCTAGCCATTTAGGCATCGTGAAAATGAAGTCAGTTGCTCGATCCTATGTCTGGTGGCCGCGTATTGATGAACACATCACCAACATAGCTAACAGCTGTTCTTCCTGTCTTTGGGAACGGAACAATCCGTCCAAAAGCCAATTGGTTATATAATTAACAAAATAACCTAAACTAACCTAACCTAACCTAAGCACAAAATGTTAGGTTAAATTAAGTTAATTAAAACCTAACCTAGCTCAACGCTTGGTTAGGTTAGTTTAGGTTATTAGGTTAACTTAAACCTGACCTAAACTAGGTTGCACTTAAGTTTAATCGTCCTACATCTATCTATACTTATATAATACGCAAGCAGGTTTTTTGTGACAATTACTCCTCCGAAACTACTGAACAGATGGACATGTTTTTGGTGTCATTGGAATGAGGGTAACGTGAAGTTGTGCAGGAAACTTTCTTTTTAGGGAAATAATGAGAGAGTGAGGCCATGGAGCTCTTTAAAGTTTCGTATTTCTCCATAAGATTAACATTGGAAACAACAATTTTTATGAAACTCCACCTGTTGTCAGAAATCAAAAGTGAGAAGAAGAGCATATGTTAATTGTAAACCGTCAATAAGTTTGCTAATTTAACAGTTTGCTATAAACTTGCTGACTTGGTTGAAATTCGTTTTAAAATAAGCCTGTAATACTTAGCAATTGCTCGAATTCGAGCAACAGGGACACTAGTCTATACTTATTTAATACGCAAGCAGGTTTTTTGTGACAATTACTCCTCCGAAACTACTGAACCGATTGACATGTTTTTGGTGTCATTGGAAAGAACGTAACGTGAAGTTGTGAAGGAAACTTTCTTTTTATGAAAATAATTAGAGAGTGAGGCCCTGGGGCCCTTTAAAGTTTCATATATCTCCATAAGATTAACATGGGAAACAAAAATTGTTATGAAACTCCAGCTGTTAACAGAAATTAAAAGTGAGAAGAAGAACATATGTTAATTGTAAACAGTCAATAAGTTTGCTACAAACATTTACTGATTTGGTTGAAATGAAATATTTACTATTTGAATTTGGGTTGGCGTAAATATTACAACGGAAAAAAGCGAGAGAGCCTAGATAAAATTATATAATCTGTTATGTACATCTTGAGTTATTTACATAATCTTTGAGTCAAATCTTTTAAAGTCATCAGAAATTATGACTGTTATTCGTTTTAAAATAACACCTGTAATACTTAGCAATTGCTCGAATTCGAGCAACAGGGACACTAGTTTACTGTTAAACATTATACATTAACTTCCAGCTGATTATAAAATGGAACTGTTCTACACTAAGCCTAACCTTAAAAAGCCGCGTTTACACCGGAGTTTGAAACACGAGTTGCAAACAGAAATTGCATACATCTCTAAACACAACAATTTTTAGACGAAACTTTTTGCTGTTGCAAACAGTTTTTCAGTGTTTGCAACAGAATTTTTTGTTTCCACTTGAAGTCGGTAAAGATCAAATGGAGTTGCAAACTCTTTGTTTCCAACACTAGTTTCGGTCACTATGAGCCGTTGAAACACGAAACAGAAACATTTCTCCGCCATCCCCTACGCGACCACCTCCTGTCTCACTCACGTGATCACTCGCACCACCCTGTATCTCGACTCAGTGTTATTAACCTGTCTGTACTGATACTAGCCTGGCTACTAGCTACCTCCTGTTTGTTGTGACTTATCTCGTATCGTGCGTGTTGTGAGTAATGGAAAATCTACTGAGTGAGATGGAGAGGGGGAGATGACAATATTATTAAGTCAATTAGCTTGTACAGAGAACAGGAAGTGCTTTGGAATCAAACTATTTCTGACTATACAAACAAAAACAAGAAAAACTATGACATTTTACGGGAAATGAACTTAAGCAAGGCAGAGGTCCAAAATAAGATGAGGAACCTCATAATTAAATTTAACAGAGAATCTAAAAAGGGCAATAAGTCTGGATCGGGGGCCGACGATGTGAAAACCAAGCTGAAGTTTTTTTCAATCAATGATGTTTCAATCAAGGTCGAAATTATTTCAAACAATATCATGAAACATGGAAACAAAACCATGAAATAAAAATTGCAAACTTTTATTTGAAACTACTGTTTGCAATAAAAGTTTTCAACTTTTTGTTTGAAACTCCGGTGTAAACGCGGCTTAACCAAACTGCAGTATGTGAGTAAAATTAATATCTATGAAACCATCATCCATTCCTTAACATCAAACAACAATAGAAGAGAAGACATACATGACCACAAAACAAAAAGAAAACAACAATTTGACCTACCATACAATAGACTTAAAAAATCTCAAAACCATCCAAACTACATAGGACTAAAAATTTTCAACCACCTCCCAGATCAGTTAAAAAATATTCAAAACACAAACTGCATTAAAAATAAACTTAAAGACTTCTCCTTAACAAGACCCTACTACAAAATAAATGATTTCTTAGAGACTGTTGATGACTAGAGATGATGTGATGAAATAAATCCGGACGAGCCCCCTTTCTTAAGGACAGCGGAGGCGAACACCCACAAGTAACAAGTAAGTAAGTAAGTAGCAAGTGGCCCAAATGTATATAGCCTAGGCTAAGTGGTAACAACTGGTTTTGATGGTTTTGGACAGTTCCATTTAAAATAATAATAAAAACGTGTTTACTTTCGGGCCAGTGACATCATTTTGTTTAAGTTTATGATCCATACAGTTTCTGTTATAATATTTTTGGGGTACACTTCCATATCTGTTGGCACAAACAACCGAATGAAAATATCGATCGATACCGTATATCGTTTGGTTAAGTAGTTAGGTAAGGTTAACCTAACCTAACTAACCAAACGATATATCGAATAATCTATAATACTCATTCAGTTGTTTGTGCCAAATGATATGGCAGTGTACGGTACTAGGCCTAGGCTATTTTTGTTATGTACTAGGTATAACCATAGACTAAGCAACACAAGTAGACTCCTCATCCCATTGTAAATTTTGAAGCTTGTTTTTTGCGTCTAGTTCATGTACGTCCACACTGATCGCTAGTGTAGACAACATTTTGTTTCTATTATTTTAGGGTTATTTTCATGATTTGTGCTTTACTATTTGGTTATATAACTAGGAGACCAGTTATTGTTTATGATTATATCGTTTTATTAGGTTAAACGAGGTTTTAAATTACTGAAATAACAAGAAACAAATTGTAAACTAAACATAACCTCTACAGTTGGACGTACAGAACTAACAATAAAATTGGCTTCAGCTGTCCCATTAGGATGACTAATCTACTAAGGGAGTATGTTTTATCTATGGTATAACTTACAATTTTGCTAGCCCATTAATTTTTATCTAGGTAGGCCTAGGGCCGCACAATTTGTTTTTCAGGATTAATTTTGCCAACGTGTCATTTAGAGGCTTCTGATTGACTATAACGAAGGTTTAGCAATTGAAAAATTATTTTTGTTCGTAGAATAAAATTATAAATGCCTCAAATTCAGTTTTATATTTTTTTATTATGAAATTAAACCGTCACAACCTAACCAAACCAACCAAACGTGCTGACAATGAAAAAATCTAATGAAGGATTATTAATCGAAAAAATAGTTCTGTTCATAAAATAAAATTATAACCTAAATGCCTCAAATCATATTTTACCTATAATTTTTTTATTATAAAATTAAACTATCATAACCTAACCAAACTAACCAGACTTGCTAATAATGAAAAATCAAATGAAGGTTTAACAGAAAAAAATATTTCTGTTCATAAAATAAAACTATAAATGGGTCAAATTCAATTTCATAATGTTTTAATTTTAAAATTAAACCCTCATAACCTAAAGGCCTTTTCACACCGGCGTACTGGACGTACTGTACGTACAGTACGCGGTCCTTTCACACCGCACAGAAACTTCCAAAACGTACACTTGTTCGTTTGCAGTCAGACAAGTAACACTGGCTGAGCACGTGGTTTGGAAGTGTTCACTGCGCATGCGCGAGCCCATGTACGCCACGTACGTTTTAGAAAAATCGCTCTCCGAGCGATTCACACAAAATCATCGCGTACATACTGGACGTACAGTACGATCTGTACGCGCGGTGTGAACGAGCTCATATGATAACATGGACAGCGATTTGTTGAAAAAAAACGTACCAAACGTACAGTACGTCCAGTACGCCGGTGTGAAAAGGCCTTAACCAAACCAACCAAACTTGTTGATAATGAAAAAAATCCAATATAAAAAAATAGTGCTACGGATGGGTTTCGAACCCGGGTCCTACGGATCATCAGCCCAGCACTCTATCCACTACACCACCGAGGCCGTTGGCATCAGCCGTATCGTCGCTGTAATGATGTTCCCTCAGCCAATCAGAAGCCTCAAAATAATACTGTAGGCAACACTAATCCTGAAATAAAAATTCAGCCCTAGGCACTACTATTACAGTGGGGGCC